GTGTGCACATCCACAGATACACACACACTGATGGCTGCTGATGTTGGTCAACTTTTGATTTCTATGAACATTTTAATGTTTAAGTTATAAGTTGTGATTTGTTTTTACAGTAGAAAAAGATTTATTTTCTTAGTGTAGCAGCTTCTGATTAGGAAGTATACGCTTAAAATAACCTTTCTTTCAGTGAGTCGGTGTACCAAGTAGCTCACACCAGCCTCAGAGCAAGTAGGCTTTCTTTATGACTGAACAGTGCCCTGAACAGAGTGAACAGTCATGTTTGTACACCTGTGAACGTTACCTTAAGATCCTTAAATGGCTACTGTGGTTTATAAATCTTATTGTATGTGTATGCACACGAATACATACACACACACACACACACACACACACACACAGGCGTGTGTGATGGGACAAAATCCCTCATCTTGAGACCAGGAGTGCCAAGGTACTACGTTTAGGGTACCTTTAAGGACACTCCCACAGTGAAATTCTTAAGCGCTTGCTGCTCTTGGATGTGCTCTCTTTATCCCCCACTCTTCTCAGTCTCTCCTCCCTTGTTTGTTCATGAGAGGGAGGGAGGGAGGGAAGGAGGGAAAGAGGGAGGGAGAGAGGGAGGGGGGAGGGGCAGGCAGAGGCATTATGGGTACTAAGCAAGCACTATGTCATTGCTACATCCTCAGTCTAGCACCATTTCATAGAACGTGCAAAACTTCCTGTTAGTGCCAGCCTGGAGACCAAACCTTTAATACATGGACCTCTGGGGAACACAAATGACCCAAGCTATAACAGTATTTAAAGCCAAGATTTAAGATTCATATACTTTTAGGCCTGATGTGTTTTTTAAAATTTATGAAGCATTTCATTATGTTTCATTAGCTATATGAAGAAGTTAAGGCCCAAGAATTAAGGGACCTGTTCCTAGTTATACAACTGTTAGTGTATGAGACCAGATTAACGTCCTGCAAAAACGACATGCTCTACAGACATGTTCTACAGCACCCTTCCCTTCTGTGCCCCTGAGGACCTGTGTGGTCGGACATGTTTTAGCATACATGTTATTAACATAAAAAAAGTTCCCTGTGTGAATTAAAGTGAATCACTTCTCTCAGAACACAGTATCCAGTGAGTGGAACCTAGTTTCATCTTCTGTTCTTTCTTCCTTCCTACAGATTTTGGATTTTCATTTCATCCAAAACAGGGAAATTGTTTAACTGACCCTGCAGATGCCTCAGTTTCTAGTGGGGTATCCTAAAATCCTAAAGATAAGGTGAGTTGCTGGACAAAGGCAACTGATGTTTTCTAGCCAAATTTGATATTTCTAGAAACAGAAATAGGATGAAAATAGTCACCATAATTCATATATACCTGTTACTTAACAAATAAAAGTGTAGCTGCAGATGAGTTAGATAATTTAGTTAAATTATATTAAATATGTTAAATATGTTCTGATAGAAGAATTCATAATTTAACTGGTGGCCAAATTTCTGAATGTTCTATTTATTTTTCTTATATACAGGGCTATACATCTTTCTGCTCATCCCCTGACTCAAAAAAATATAATTTACCACATTCAGAGGAAAACTATAATTCTACACAAGCTGC